TCTCTTGATAGAGTCCCACATGACTCTTATTAGAGTTTCTTCATTCTTTTTAATTCTTTTATCTGATTTTTCCTCAAATAACTTGGCGTCAAGAGCTTTATCTTCAATGTCACTAATTCTAACTTCTACTGCCTCAATTCTGCTCCTATGACTTTCTATTGAGTTGTCTAATTCTGAAATTTGTTAATCTTCTGGATTTCTGATTGCTGTCTCTCTACGGATTCTTGCAGCCTATTAAATTTGACATTATGTTCTTGAATAACTTTTTTAAGTTCCGCTACTACTGTGTCTGTATGTTGCCTGGCTGTTTCTGCATTCTGTCGAATTTCCTTTCTTACTTCTAGAAGAGTTCTGTATATTAATCTTTTGTATTCTGTCTCTGGTAATTCCAAGAAGTACTCTTTCTCCAGAGAATTTATTGATTATTTTGGGAGCTTGCTGAAGCCATCATGGACTGCCTCTTTATGTGACTTGATATTGACTGTTGTCTCCGAGCCATCAATAATTTATTCTAATTTTATTTTGTGTTTGCTTAGTGAGACCTACCTTCTTATTTTGTTTTGTTTTGATATGCCCAAGTGGGCTGCTTGTGTGCACTAGTTTGCTTTTTGACACCTTTTGATCTCTAATGTCCTGTCACCAGGTAGTTGGTTCTGTAACTAAGTATGTGCACGCCAGAGTTCATTAAAATTTCCTATATGGGATCAGCTCGGGTGTGCAGGCAGTCGATCACCAAGTGCGTGATACAGGCTCTCACCCCCAGTCCTAGAGAGGCATGGGTGATTGGTGAAGGCACTGGACTCTGGCTGTGGTAGGGGATCACGCACTGAGCCAGGCAAGGGGCGGACAGCTGCCCCTGAGCGTCTGAAAGAAAAGCATGCCCCTGTTCTCTAGGGTGAATAGGTAGGTGAGTTCTGCAGCCGGGCTAAGAGCGCCCCACTATGTTGGCTGCAAAGACTCGAGGGCACCACTCCTTCCTGAACTCCTGTAGCAGGTGACTAGGCACTTTAGGAGCTATCACCAGTCCTCAAGACCCTGCTGCAGATGGATAAAAGCGCCTACTTGAGGCACAGGGCTGTTTCAAGGATCACAAATCTGCCCGTTCACAGCTGAAGCAGTTGAAGTTAAACTTCAGATGTTTGCGCTGTTGTACTGTGGTAGTGAGGGCCAACGCCGTTGAGATGGGTCCCTACAAGTCTATACAGGGGTGTATGGCACTCAGAGTCTGCATACCCCTGATTTCCATGGCCAGCAAAGGAGTTGTACCAACCCTGTGCTCCTGGCCTAGGGGAGCCAGCAGCTTATTTGTTCCCTCTCCAAGGCCAGAAGAATGGGTCAGGGCGCCTTTTGGGATCTATTTCCGGCCCAGTGGACTCACAGCGCAGAGCAGGGAGGGAGGCGGTAAAAAGAAGAGAGGTTTTTCCCAAATCCTGTGGAAAGCGCGGAGGTAGGAGGTAAAAGGGAGAGAGGTTTTTCCCAAATGGGCTTTTTTTTTTAACTCGCCGCGAAAGGGTGCACGCATGTACTTATCGTAGCCTCTTGGGAGCTGCTCTTCACTGGTTCGGAGTGTCCAAGCAGAATCTCTGCTGCCGGGTCTCTCTCGACGCGGAAAATGCTTCTCAAGCGGTGCACAGCACAGCTGTTTTCCTGCTTCAGCGTGGACCAGCGTGGCTGTGTCTCTGCTGTGTCGCCGCCATGGCTCTAGCACCCCTCACCTCTTCCAAACGATCTTCCTCTCTGGTATGACTCAGATGGATTTCTTAACCTTGCCTTGTTCAGGGCTGTCAGGTGTTCACATAGAATCAAATCACTTGTTTTTCCAGGTCTTTGTTGTAAGAGGGATATAAGAAGTGTCTAACTAGTCCGCCATGTTGACCACGCCTCCCTTATCTGCACTTTCTTATGTGCAAATTTCACTCTCAGAGTGTTTTGAACAATATGTGTATTAATTGTTTAATGAGAAACTAATTTGCTCTGTAAACCTTCAGCTAAAGCACAATAAAAAAACAAACAGTTCGGTTAAGAAATGTAAAAAGTAAGACAACACTTAGATTTATCCAAGAGTTGAAAAAGGTCAAGCTGATTAAAAGTGTGCATATACTTTTTTACTGTTCAAAACAAAGTAATTAAGAAAAAAAATCTATAAGTGATTTTTATAAAGATAACACTGAAAAAAAACCCTGCCTAATATTCAGGTATGTATGTTATCTCACTTAATTCTCACCGTAATCTCTGCGGCAAACAGAGCTAGTAGTATTCTTAGTCCAAAAAATACACTGTCATTTGTTTTGAGAGAAACAAATTAACAACAGAGCAATCAAAGTCACAATTGAGTATTTTTATTTTTAACGGATAATTTAAAAGAGGCTTTTATTTCTAAAAACTATTAATTTTTTTAAGCTGAAGTTTTTTTTTTCCAAATCCTTATTCATTCATTTTCATTTTTCTGAAAACATTTAGAGCTTAGAGGGGTGGGTTTCACATCTTTCCCTTTTAGTTTTTTCTCATTAAAGTCATTCTAAAGCCATATATTTGTATAAGGCTTCTTACAACACATTAAGGGTCCATTATCAGAATGCCCTGGTGGCACAGTGGTTAAGCATTCGGTTCCTAACCAAAAGGTCAGTGGTTCAAACCCACCAGCCACTCCACAGGAGAAAGATGTGGCAGTCTGCTTCCATAAAGATTTACAGCCTTGAAAACCGTAGGCGCAGTTCTACTCTATCCTACAGGGTTGCTATGAGTCGCAATCAATTCAACAGCAACAGGTTTTTATCAGAATGCATATTTGTAGTCAACACAGTTTTGTAATACTACAATAGAAGTCTTTATTCATATAAGCATTCAGCTCCCAACACATGTTAGGAGGAGAAATAGCCTTGAGAACATCTTAAACAGCCTGTGGGTATGTGAGAAAACTATTTAATAAAAATACACTTACCTAATATTTGTGTAGGGTTAGCTTGGTCAAAAGTGACAGCCTCTTTTTTTGGAAAATAAATATTCACTATTTTAGATGTAGCTGATCGGTAAGCACTATTCCCTATTTACAGAATAAAAGATGATGAAAGTCATAAGGTGTGATCAAAAACGAGATTTTTCTAATAGTATGACTGTTTCACAATTATTGAAATATGTAACTACTCAGTGCATGCAATAAAGTAACAAGCAACCTCAAAAATAAGAAAAGAAATCATTGACAAGATTTTATAAACTGTTCTGGTTGATACAATACTCTCTTGTTTTTGGAACAGGAGCTTAAATGTAGAACAAGCCTTTCTATGTCATATTTTCTACTTTCTTCATGTTTTTAACATTCAATCTAAATTGCAAATTTTAAAAAGGTCAACAAATATGAAACAATTACAAAACTTTTCAATCTCATCGTCTCTCAGGCAAACTGATGTCTCCCTTCTCATGTCCTTTATTGCTTACTCTAACTGATACAGTATGCAATGTCATTTTTCCTAAATGTTTTGCACATCATCTTTATAAATTCCAAGTTATAAGTTCCTGAAGGCCAGAAGTCCTAGTCTTTTATATTTTTTTTACTTCTTAAGTCTCTATCATAGTAATGGAAACTCAGTACCTAATAATGAATAAAAACTGAAAAAGAATGAAATATTTTACAAAACTTAGTGAAAAAAAGCTATCTCAACTAAAGAATCATTTAATTCTAATTCTGATAATTCAAATCTTAATTTATATCCCATTTTTGTTCCAATGTAAATTAAGGTATTTTGCAAAAATATGAATGTTTATTTTAATCTTCTGGGCATATTAGGAATAGAAAAAGGAGAAGGTATACAAAGTAAAATGAAGCAAGTAATGAGGTAAATGCACAAAATTAATTCTGTCTGTAAAGCATAAGATATTTATTGACATAATCAAAGATAAACTAAAGAGACATTGCCAGCACTCCTGGTCTGTAGAGTGTAGTTGTGGCGAGAACACAAACGTTAGTCAAATATCACCCAAACAATTAAGTACAGTGAAATGTTCCCTGAAGGAAAAGTACAGGTTGCAATGAGACCTTCTGATAGAGAGGGTAATCTGGAAGGGAGTGTACATGATGTTCCAAGAAGTTTCACTGAGTTTGTTCAATAAATACTATATTATAAAATCAAATAATAGACAAATGATTGTGGTCCAAATAACTAAAGAAACGGCTCAAATTTTTCAAAAGATAGCACCATGTACAAAGCTCCTGAGACACAGGCCGGTATGGCTGGACAGAAGAAAGGCAGAGAGGAATGTAATGCACGCAAGGCAAGAGAAAATGTTCAAGAGGAGCCACTAATGCGTTTTAAACAAGGGAGGGGCATAATAAGAATTAGACTGTAAGAGATCACTGGCTGCAGTGTGGACCAGGGAGAGACCAATTTGGAGTTTATTTCACTAATCTAGGTAGAGATGACAATAGCTTGGACTAAGGTATATAAAGGTCTAGTATATAAAAATTATTAAAGACGGCAACTTCTGGAAAATGGGAGACAGTACTGTTAACTTTAGCCTTTTTTGTAATACAACAGGTAAAGCTAACAATTACTAACCACTTATTATGCACAAATGTAGGACCCTGGTGGCACAGTGGTTAAGAGCTCAGCTGCTAACCAAAAGGTCGGCAGTTCGAATCCATCAGGTGCTCCTTGGAAAACCTATGGGGCAGTTCTACTCTGTCCTATTAAGGTTGCTATGAGTCGGAACTGACTCGATGGCAACGGGTTTGGTTTTGGTTTATTATGCACAAATTGATTTAGATTTTTTTAATTTTAGACTCTTAACTCTAGGAGGTAGACATTATCTCAACTTTACAAATAAGAAAAACAGAGGTACAGACACACTGAATAACTTGTTCAAGGTCAAACAGTTAAAAAGTAGTCAAAGTAATATTTGACTCTAAGCAATCACACTCCAGAGTCCATAATCTTAATCACTATGTTATAATCCAATATTGACAATCAGTGTACTTTTGCAATTAAAAAATAGCTTTAAAAAATCACATGCAAGTTAGTTCTTAAGTAGAGTGGTGGGTTTATGGGTGTTTACTTATTATGCAAGGAGCACTGGTGGTGCAACAGTTAAGCACTCGGCTGCTAACCCAAAGGCTGGCGGTTTGAATTTACCTAAGGACTGTGGGAAAAAGACCTCATGATCTGCTCTTGTAAACGTTACAGCCTAGAAAACCCTATGGGATAGCTCTACTCTGTCACATAGGGTTGCTCTGAGTCAAAAGTCAACTTGATGACACCTAACTACAACTTACTACACTCAATACCATATGTTACACATATTCTCCTCTGTATGTCATGTAAGACATAAAACAAAAATTTAAGGAGGAGAAAATAAATGCCAACAGATCTGTCACACTTGCAAGAGGTGGACCACATATTTAGCATTGCATTTTACTGACAGTCCATACAGAGGAAAGCATACTTGCATATATTAAAAATATATTAAACAATGAACAAGTAAGGCGTGTCAGATGCTAGCCTAGATACTAAAAAAAAAGTTGCTCAGGAGAAGGCCAAATATTTCAGGCCTAGGCATAAAAGCAAATTCTTCTTTCAGTCCTCTTAAAGAAAAAAATGTGTAATGTAGTCAGTAACATTCTTAACACACTAAGTAAGAATGAAAGTGTGACGGGATTAAGCACAGACTGTGTAGATGTAGTGAAGAAACCAGCCTTAACAGCAACAGAGCAAGTTTTCAATCCTGGCAACCTATTAATATCAAATGGCAAGATTATAAAACTACCCTTACAAGACTGCAACCCAGCACAATAACAGATCAACATGGGGACGAGGCTGAGGTAGTTTTTAAGTCGCCTAGATGGTTCTGAAGTGCTGTAATGAAACAATTCTGAGGAAACTCTAAAGTCAGGCCAAGAAGTTTGGTCTTAATTTACTATATAAAAAACAGGGGTACAAACCAGAATGAACTTGTTCGAAGCCTTAATAAAAAGTTCTCCAGCAAGAAAATGACATAAATTTCCTTAAAATCTTTACACTGCAAAAAAGCTCCAATGAATTTTAAAATTCTATGAACAGTACTTACCTGTAAATGGATCAGCTCCAGCCATGGGAGTTCCCGTACTTGTGGAACCTGGTACGTAACGACCAGCACCTAAAATTCAATAATACCTCCAGTAAGCAAACTTAACTGCAAACTACATAGTTCTTTATGTAGAATAAGTTATTCTCAGTAGTGGTCACACTTTGGAATGGCATCTTTATATACATAATAAATGTTCTGTAAATTTAATACATAAAAATGCTTAGAACAATGCTGGCATGCAGTAAGTCCTCAGCTAAAAAATAAACCTAAAGTCACAAAATAAACATTAGACTTCCTTATAATTACAAATGTTTAATTAATTACAAAAGCATTAATGGATAGGAGAGAAAGAAACTAAAAAGTTTCCAGAGCGAAATGTGAATACTACTCTACTGAAGTAAAAGCACAGGCTTAGGTAAAAGGAAGAGGAATAATTCTTGCTGATACATAAGACTGAATCAGACAAGAGTCTAGGTAAGAGTCAGGGATGTTATAATAATGGCCCGGTCACATTTGAGATTATATTTCTGATTGTTTCACTGAAAATGAAAAGAAAGGAATATGAAAAAACAAGTGTGGAGAGAGAATTAGTGGGGTTTGGAGTTGTTCAGAGCCCTGGATCAGCCATTGTGGGAAGAAGAAAGATGAGCTATTTTTCCAACCTCTCTGAGTTTATCATTTAGGAGTTGGTATAACAGGTCAAATATATACAGAAAAGGCAAACAAAACTAAGAAACAAAGATAAACTCAGATGTAGATAGGATTAATTAAAATAATGAAGAATATAAAATAAGTCGGTACATCTGTTGAGTTTTTACTACATGACAGCCAGCAAGCTAAGCATCTTACATGCACATGTTCAGTTAAGTATTAATTAGATACCATTATCACTCCTAATATTTTAGAAGGCTGAGTAGCTCGCCCAAGGCATTAAGTTAAGTGACAGAATGGGTCCTATACTTTTCTAAATGTGTTTCTTTGACTACCTAAGTGAATCAACCAGTCCAAGACTTAGTGGTTCTCCAAAGTAGCTTCACTTTAGAAACACATAGGGAGCTTTTAAAAATACCTATGAACAAACCACATGCAAGATCACTTAATCAGAATTTTTAGGAGAGGGATGCCAAACCAAAACCAAAACCATTGCTGTCCGGTCAATACTGACTCATGGTCCATGTTACATAGTAGTTAGGGTAGAACTGCTCCAAAAGGTTTTCTTGGCTGTAACCTTTATGGAAACAGATCCCCAGGCCTTTCTTCCAGTGCTGCTGGGTGGGTTCAAACATCCAACCTTAGGTTAATAGTCAAGCACAAACCATTTGTTTGCACCACTCACATATTTTGAACTTTTATTCACTAGCCTAGTAAATCAGAATCTCTGAGGGTAGGACCTTGGGCTAAGTAATTGAAAAAGCTTCTCAGATGATTCTAATGCACATTAGAAGTCTGAGAACCACATAATTCATTAAGGAGGGGACACAAAAGAATTAAGATTGACCTTGAATTTAAATCAAATGGGGAAACCTTCTGGCCCCAGTACTATTGGTAAAGTTAAGGAACAACATCAACAACAGCTAACATATATTGAGTGCTTCAAGGTATTCCAGGCATTTTGCTAAATATTTTACATGTACTATACTATCTAATTTTCATAAAATCCCAATATGGTTAAGTGTTATTATCTATTTTTTATAATAAACCAAAAAAACAAAAAACCCCAAGACTTCAAACTGGTTCAAACCCCTGCCGAGAATTCGCATTTCCACCCCCAGGTATACTGAATCTGAATCTACATTTTAACAAGATCCCTGAGTGATTCTTATGTATAATACATTTTGAGAAAAACTGCTCTACTAGTAGTTCTCAGAATTGGTCCCTAACCATTAGCATTAGCATTGCCTGGGAACTTGTTAGAAATGCAAATTATCAGCAGGGATTTGAACTGGAATGAACCGGTTCGAACACTGCCCAGGAGTCAACTGTGACTCATAGAGACCGGACAGGACCCAAGTAGAACTGCCCAGTAGGGTTTCCAAGGTTATAATCTTTATGGAAGCAGACTGCCACATCTTTCTCCCTCGAAGTAGCTGGTAATAGTGTCGTTCAATTATCCTAATCGATAACTATTCTCTAGGACATTTAGTGTGCTATCTTGCATATTTCCATAATCACTGCATCTCCTGAGTTGCTGACGTTGCACAACAATGAGACATGCTCTGTCCATGGCGGCTCCAGGAGTTCTCTTAATTTTGTTGGTACTGGCTGAAGCTTAGTATGTTCTTCCTGTTTCAGAAAAAAGCTGCTAATGAAATTTGGGAACTCTGTTGGTGTAAGCTTCAGGGTTATAACTGTGATGGATATGCTAATAAAGAGAAAGTTATCATCTTTTCTACTCCTCAGTTCCTTACTACTATTTCAAACTGCATTATATCATCAAAGATAGTCATTGTAGTCTACCGGTCATCAATATAAATGAGTACACCCATCTGGGTGACCAATTCATTCAGAGGAGAAAGGAAGCTCATTGAGAGTGATTCACAACTCCAAGACTCCCACCTAAGATTATGTGTTGATCCAATCTATGAATGGGACAGGATCACAGGCTGTCAGTTTTGTAGCTCATGCTACTAAGACTGCGAGGATAGTGGTTACCATATAGGCTATGAATTTCTTCCCAAGTTGGGTATATTGTCCAGGAACTCTGGCTGAAGATCAAACAACAGCATCATACGTTAAAAGCTATTTTGAATATAGAGACTTTTTCAGCTGCATTAAAGTCCAAGTCTGGTAATTTTTTTTTCCCAGTAGTGCCAACACTGAAGCATGCATACCTTTGTAAATAAACTCACTCTGAAGAGACACACGGACACTTGAAGAGCTTCGTGAAGACCATTAATAACTTAGATTAGAAAGACTAATCTTAGCTGTGTGGAATGTCTCCTTCCATGCTAAGTCAACATATGCCTTGGCAGACTTTTTGACTGCACTGCTCCATTCAATATCAGGGACTCACATGGCTCCTTCTCTGTTCGTGATCTGTAGCATCTCATAAGTGATAGCAATCATGTCCGTGTCTTAGCTGATGGGCTCCCCTACTATCTGATTTTACAGATAAAAAAATAGGCTCAGACAGGTTAAGTTAACTTGCCAACTTTTCACAGCAAGTAAGTGGTAGAGCCAAATTCTGAACCAAGGTCTGCCTGACTCTAAAACCTATTCTCTTAACTACTCTGCTCTCCTGGCAGGAAGGATCACTGACGAAAACAGTGAGTTCTAATAATATGACATTTAAAAGTCACAAGGAAATCTACAAAAGGACTCTAGGAAAAAGCAAAAATTAGAAGTTAAGGAAAAGGAGATCCATCAAAATTGGAAATACAGATTAGGGAATTATCAGTTACTGGATGATACCTCCAAAATGGAAAGCCAATGTAATGCAAAACGCAATGTAATTAGTGAAAAAAGAGACATTAATCAAAACTGCATCCCACCTGTGAAAGGATCTGCTGCAGGCGGTGCATTAGAAGATCCTGATGAAGAGCCCGGAACATACCGACCACCACCTGTGCATGCAAAACAGAGGAAAAGCTTAAGTGCTCCAAATTTCATAAACAGTACAATGCTTACATTAAAAAAGTCTAAGCTTGAAGAAAAACAAGGCTGATAGATGACATAAATTGTAGTCAGAAGTCGTATAGTTGGGGAGAAATTAAAATTTCAATGTTTCCTGAAGTTTTGTTCATAACTTAAAGATTTGACTATATCTTAGCCCCAACACTTAAAAATATTAAAATAACTACAAATTCAAATATAAAATTGCAAGTGGTCTGTGACCTAAGTAATATGTGTATACAATCATTTCCAATCCCTGTTCCTATACAAATTCCCCAAAGTCCTGCCGTTGCTATCAAAATCACAGGCATTAATTGTTAATCTTTTAGAGAATCTCTGGGCTCATTAATTCATGTGTCAAACAGTGCACTCAGTGCTGAGGATCCAGCAGGGAATAAGATTGCTTGTATCCACTGAAGCTTATGACCTACTGAAGACAATTACAAAGGGCATGAGAGCTACAAAGGAAACAGATTTCCTTTTATACCTTTACAAAGGTGTGGTGTGTGTAAATATGTTGTATTAGTACCTCTAAGGAAATCATCAGAGTTGTCCACAGAAAGATACGTGCTTCTCAAGTTAAAGTTTAGGAAGACCAAAAAAAGTCAAGCAGCTGCTAGATTTCTAGACAGAGCCAACTGCTTTTATATCTGTTCTCCATCCCACAAAAGAGACTATACAATACTGCAAGCATGCGTTCACTCTTTTGCTCTGTAGTCTGAAATTCCACCAATAGAAACAACCAGGTAATAAGCACCTTACTGTTTTGTTTGTTTGGGTCCGTGCAAGTATTGGGAGACTTACATCATTTATAATTAATTCATTAGTGAATTAGTTTAATAATTCTGTTTAAGCCAACACATAGGTGAGATTAACTTTATTATATGAATGGACAACGGAATTTTGAACTAGAATGAGAGGAGATAATTTGGGAGCATTCAGTATCTGTGAGGGAAGAAGAAAAACAGGTAGATCTATTAGGGACTTGAAGTAGAAAGAGAATATGGGGTCCTTGTGCACTAGGAAGAACAACTAGCACATGAAAAATGGAGTCAGGACAGTGATAGGAAAACATTAAAAATTAAGTGACTATTTCAAATGTTTTCTTAGAGCTGGTCCTGTACCCAAGAAAACTTTTTATTTCCACCTGTATCATGGTCTCAGTTTCCAGGTCCCAGAACTCAGGCTGATACTACTAGAATTATAATCCACTTCCTAGGAGCCAGAACTCAGACTAATTCTACTAAGATTCTAATTTACAGACTGGCACCAGAACTTGACCTTTTATAACACTTTAGATACTATATATACTAAGTTATAAACAACTGACTTACAACGAACATGTAGAATACAACCCACACATAAACTAAAAGTAGCCACAGTTCAGTCCTAATTTGATGTAGAAGTAATCGATTTAGCCTCATTGCAAACAGAATTTCTATTTACCAAATTTTACCAATGTATGTATTTTTAAAAGGAGCAATTATATAAAGAAACTTATAAGTTTCTTTTTATTTCAAAAATGATTACATTACTTTAACATTTAGTTTACACTGCTGCCATATTTATAGAGAACAATCTATTTATATAAAATACAAAACTACTATGTAATTTTAGGCTAAAAATATGAATGTGAAGTAAACACCTAGTAATTTGTATAATGCTGTAGATCTTGATTTTTATTTAAATAGTATGCATAACAGGTGTTTTAAATACAATAAAAAATTAATCAATACTGATAGAAATACATACAACTTATTATAAATCCTAACTTACCTGTAAATGGATCTGAAAAATTGGTGTTCCCAAGCCCCAACATTTGACCTTTTGTGTTATCAATAATAAACTTAGCCACTTGATCCAAAAACATGGGATTCAAATCATTCTTCTGCAAGAAGTTGTATGCAGTTAACCAGGGATCATCACTGGTATTATATGGCAATTTATATGATGGTCCACCTTCATTGACATCAATTGAGAAAACATAATCAAATTCCTTTAATATGAATATAAAAGGGAGATAAATGATGATTAACTTATTTGCTCTTATATTAACTCCACGACATATACAACATATTAAGTTATATGTTTTATGTTCTGTTCTGTGTTCTCCAAAATGCAAGGCTAAAATCTTCTTCTTTGGCACATAAAGGTCAAAAGAAATCATCTGCTGCAAAATAAGTATCTGATTGGGGAAGTGGGTATGGATTATGGCTACACATTAGTTCTAAGGCCAAAGGAAAGTTTCTGATTGGTTGGTCTCAAGGCCAGAAGTATTAGCTGTTAGCATGCTGCTCACCAAAACACAGTGGCATCATAAGCACTGCCTGCAGGGTCCCTCACGTCTTACTAAGTTAAATTATAGCCAGGCATGAAGAATTAAAGGTGGCACAAAAGTTCCTAACCCAAAATGTTAGGAATAGCTTATGTATGTTAACTACTAAAAGACAAATAATGGCTAATTTGTCTATCAAGTACAACTCTCCCTAGATGGAAAGAAATTTTTAAAAAATCTATTTCAAGAGAGAAAGAAGAGAGAATTTCCCCAGAGTAATGTATTTTTAAAATCAAAATATATTTTATCAGTATGGGGAAGAGAGAAAAAAATCTTTAATTTGTCTAATGCTTTAAAATAATGGTAATTAAAAAGTAGAAGTCAACATACTTTCCCTTCATATAAAACTTTTCCAGATGTTTGCTGATTAGCACCAGATGAGCCAACAACATCACCAATTTTCATCCATCTCCTTTCACTAACACTCCACTGATAGGCTTCGACTTTCTCTCCATCTCTGATTAGACGAGTCTGTCCATCTCTAGTACCTTAAAATAGAAATTTCTAGAATCAAAGGTAGAATGGCATAGTAAAATTGAAAAAAAAAAATTAGAAGATTATTAACATTAAAATTTATATATAAAAGAATATGTACTTTGGTTTAAAAGAAAATTTTAGCAAACAAAAGATTTTAAAATGCAATTCTACTAAAAAGTAGCCAAAGAAAAATAATGCTTAAAAGGAAACTTTTATTAAAGTTTAAAAAAATGTGATTCTACTAGAAAGTAACTGGCCCACAGAAAATAAAGAGTTTTAGTACTGAAAATCTCCTGACAGAACATTTCATTTCAGTAAATGATCCCATTCCTCTAATTGCTCAGTTCAAAATATGTAGAAAAGTCTGATTTCTCTATCTTATAGCCAATTCTTCATTAAATTCTGTCAGCTCAATCTTTAAAATATATCCACAAAACTACCTCTTCTCACCATATCCATTGTTACCCAGTGGAAGAAGTCACCATCACTTCTCAGATTAATTCAATAGCCTCCCAGTCCTGCCCTTAGCCTCCTTAACAAACCAAAAAAACCCACTGCTGTTGACTCGGACTCATAGCAACCCTATAGGACAGAGTAGAACTGCCCCACAGGGCTTCCAAGGAGTGGCTGGTGAATTCGAACTGCTGACCTTTTGTTTAGCAGCCATAGTTCTTAATCACTGTGCCACCAAGACTCCAACCTAGTATATTCAACCCAGCAAAGAGAGGAATTCTTTCAAAAGGTTAAGTATATCCTGACACTCTTCTGCTCAAAACCCTTCACTCTCAGTAAAACCAAAGTTCTTGGAGTAGTGCACAAGGCTAAGTATAACCTGCCCCCATCATCCTCTCTGACTCCATCTTCCACTATTCTTCCCCTCCCCCATCTCCTTTGCACTTGCTGTTTATTCTACCTACAATGCTTTTCACTGGCAGCATTTGCTACCTTGCCTCCTAAAGGACTTTATGCTGTCACCTTCTCAGCAAAGCCTTCAGTGGCAGAAACAGCTAGCTTGTCCTGCAAAGATTCACACTCCCTTGCAAAGGGTAGAGTTGTGGCTGTCCAGCTAGAGATTACATTATCCAGCCCGGCTGCATCCTGCCTTCCCATGATGTTACACAACTGAGTAATGGTTAGCGGAATCTGGATGGGCATCATATAAGCCAGTTCCAGGCCTAGCCCATCATCCTCTAACCTCCCTCTTCACCTTTTTGATGACCGAATGTCACACCCAAGGTGATCCTGGAAGCTACATGTTGAAGATGCTGGTTTTTCTATCAGCCTGGAACCCTGAATGAATATGAGAACTACTCCACAAAGATACATATGCTCCACCATGCCCTGCCAACTGAACTTCAAATGTGCAAGAAATAAACTTTCCTTTTGTTAAGCCACTGAGATTTCAGCATTTATCTGTCACAGCAAATAGTGCTATTCTAAGTATTCTACATTCTCTAACTTGTATTTAACATTACAAACCAGTTCTTATCCCTGATTTATTTTTCCCATAGTACGTATCACTATCCGACATACTTACTTACTTATTTACATTTCAATTATCGGTCTCCCCCGACTAGAATATAAATTTGTGAGAGCAGCAATTTCTGTCCCTTTTGTTATCTATATTCCCCAGAGCCTAGAACAATGTCTGGCACACAGCAGGCACTTGGCAAATATTTACTAAATGTTTACATACTGATGAAAAGGCTACATTTCTAAAAATTGTAAGACTGTTAAAAACATGATATAATGCACTTCTCAAACTTTGTTTCACGATCCCTTTACAGTCAAAAAAGATACCGACAACTCCAAAGAGCTTGTGTTTATGTGGCTTATATCCATTTATTTTACTGGATTTGAAATTAAAACTGAGAAGATTAAAAAATATATTTAATTTATTGACAAAATAGATCCAGTACATATTAAATATTTATTTTTATGAAAAATAACTATATTTAAAAAATGTAGTAGCTGTGAAAAGACTGGCATTGTTTGACATTTTTGTAAATCTCTTTAATGTTTCATTTAATAGAAGACAGCTGGATTATCCTCTCTCTCTCTGAATTCCATCGGTTGCAGTATGTTGTTTGGTTGAAGTATATGAAGAAAATCCAGGCTCACACAGATGTGTAGCTGAAAAGGACACTAATTTAATAGCTTTTTCAGATCAATGAGGATATTCTGCAAGTGGTAGCTTCTTAAAAGTTACAATGCAGAATCTAAAACCATGTCAATGAATTTTTCATGCTCTACACCACACCAAAATCTATCTTGCACTTTGAATGGATCTTTTTTACTCATGTATGATTTCTTTTAACATCATGCTCTGGTCATCTGTAAGACCACTGATTTCATTACAACAGTCTGTAAGTATTGGGAATCTGTCAGGCTCATGGTGGCAGACACAAACTTTCTCTCAAAAGCTTGGGTTTTATCTTTGACAACAAATACTGTCAGTTGTTTTCCTTAACGTGATGGGCTCACTTAGTTTATTTTCAAAAACTGTCTGCCAAGTATTCTTAAGCCTGCATAACCATAGTTAGTCGTTCTTTCAAGCAAAAAAGGCATTCCATGAAAAAAACGGGCTAGTTCAGCCTGCAACTCAACCAACTGCACAGCTGCTTTTCCTTGAGACACCAGGATACTTTGGTGTATTTTGTATATTTTCCATTTTGTCACTCAGAATACTGAAAGAGGTGTACTACAGGGCAAGATGTAATAAAATTAATAATTTTTACTGCTTCATCAAGGACACTCTTAAAGGCAACTGGTTGCTGTTTTTAACGACAACAGCATGCCAGTGAAGAACACAGTGACTATCAGAACAGTTTGGCGCCACTGCCTTCATTTGTGAGTGAGGGAGCCAGCAGTGCTACCCACCGTTGCTTTTGTACCATAAGTGCAAATGTTAACATAGTGAAAAGGGCAAATAACCGCTTAGTATTATTATAAAATTAGTTTGACCTCATGGACACCCTGAAAGGATCTCAGAATCTCCAGGGGTCTATCTATGGACCACACTTTTAGAATCACTGACATAAGGGTCAAAGATACATAAAATAATTTAAGACAACTATTGTCCTCTGATTTCAAACTCATATGATCCCCAACTCATTAAGCAGATATTGCTTTATTTAACCTCATTTTTATTTTTAGTCTGCACAATCTCTCTTAGGGAATACAGTCAGCCAAAACGTAGTAAACGAGTGACTTTTGAGTATCTACTATGTACGCTCTGAGCGTCAGGAGATTTAAAAAAGAAAAAAAAAGGTTACTAGTTATGGAAAGCTTAGCTCAACATCTAAAAATTGTGAGGCAGAGGCAAGAAGAACATGGTTTCCCATAGTGGTTATGTGTGACAGTAAAAATTCTCAAAAATTAGTATTTGGTAATGAGAATAATATTGAATAACTAGCAAAACAATCTTTTTTCCTTATCCCTCTTAATTCTCCCAAAAAGCAAATATAATGGCTTTTTTTATTACTAGATAGACTGAAATATTTACCAGATTCATTCAGATGTTCCCTGCCAGGAAGCTGCTCAGCATTAATGTCCCCCAAATCACCAGTTTTGGAATCAATCGTTGCCTGAGAGAGTTCTTTTTCAAAACGCTTGATTTCCTCAGCACTTGCTGTCCGATCCTCTGATTCTGTGAAAACTCTAATAATACCATCACTATAAAACAAACAAACAAACAGATTTAAAAGTCATTGCCATAGTGCATTAACATTACACCTGAATGATCTAAAGCAACAATCGTCTGTGTATGTGAAGATGAGAGATGTTACTGTCTATTGACTGCTGAGTATAGAACTATGCTGACTTTAGCACACAGTATCCTCTACTACTTTTTAAAGCAATGTAGAGTGGAAAAAGACTATTTAAAGGGGAAGTAGTCTATAATCCTTTCTTCATCCATCACCTGAAACAATCGTTTGTCTACCTACTCTTACGGACCCTTTATTTTTTTTTTACTATTCTCTACCAAAATGTCATGTCCAAAAAAAAAAAATCACTAATACCATCTTTCAAACCAAATACAAAAGCTCTTCTAACTCTCCACTTCTTGACTCTTCTAGCACTTTCTGACATTGATGACAATCTCCCTAAAAACTCTCTCTTCTGTCTTCCTAAATTTCAACAGTCTGATTCTTTTCTCTGTTTGACCTACTAGCTTCTCTTTCTCTACCCAGAATATATCACGAGATTCAGTCTTTAGTCTTCTGTTTCTCCTCTTCTGTATTTCCTGCCTCAGAGAAAAGGTGTTCTATCACTTGACTTTTGCACAAATCTTTATCTTCAGTCTCAGTTCTTACACTAGGCTCCAGTCTAACTGCACGTAAGCCACTGGCAAGTGTGGCTTACCACCACGCAGACCTCAGGAAATCTAAAACCAAAGCCATCACCTGCTGCTCCAAACCAATTCTCCCACTTACTCATTTTTACTAATGGGGTCTCCCACTTACCAAAAGTTTAAAGCTTTATCCTTCTCTTTTATCCCCTTTCTAATCATTTTTCCTCTTAATTATCTCATTTGTCTCTTATCCATCATCATTGCTGAGCTAAAATTTCATAACTTCACACTCCTACTACTGCAGATGCTTTCTAGTTTGTTTTCCTGTCCATTGTCATCACTAGTTAAATCCAATCCACATATTTAATAATTCACAAGTTCTGTTTTTATCACTCCTTGCTCAAGAGCTATAACAGGTCTTTAACCCCAAGTACTGAATCTAAAATATTCCTGGCATTCAAGGTTCTCCACACTGAAGACCCACTTGACCTGAAACAACCTAATTATTCCACAATCCCCAGCATTAGTCCTCTACCATTTTCCTTCATCTCCTATATGCATAACACTCAATCCCATGCCATACCTTTACTTACACTATTTCCTTTGACAGAAATTCCCATTTCCCTTCTTACTCATTATCCTTCAAAATCCAATTCAAATTTCTTCTTCTCCAGAGTTTTCCTATACCAATCTCCACCTTCTCTAATTTTCTTTGCACTCAATAGTTCCACTTTAGAATCTGCAGTAAAATAATGGTTTACAGTATTGTATCTTTAGTGTAAAAGCTGTTTTGCCCACTACTGTTTTGTTCACTGACAGAAAAATATAGTCTTCCCAGTTCATCTGAAATTCCCTATAGCCTATCTCTGCACACTCTAAACCCACTGCTGTTGAGTCGATTACAACTCGTAGCGACCCTATAGGACAGAGCAGAACTGCCCCATAGGGTTTCCAAGGCTGTAAATCTTTACAGAAGCAGACTGCCATATCTTTGTCCTGTGGAGTGGCTGGTGGGTTCAAACTGCTAACCTTTTGGTTAGCAGCCGACCTTTTAACCACTGCACCACCAAGGCTCCTTTTTAGTGTCTACAAAATGCCTAGATAAATAATGTTTATTGATTCACTAGAATATAAATACCTTGCACCAACCACAATATCACCATTGTCTAGAACACAGCAGCACCATATAGACTGAGCTGGAAGTCGGATTGTCTGAGCACATTCCCCATGTTTCCAGATTCTCAGAGATCTATCTTCTGCTGTTGTCACAAAATCTAAAATTAATGAATACAGAAAAGACTGGTTTGAATACAATTAAGGATATTTATACAAACCATCTTTATAGTTATGCTGATTTATTTTGGCCTTAGAGTATTTTAAAACTAGTTTTAAATTTTATATATTTGTTATCAATACCATATACAACTTCAAAAATCACATTTTTAATATACTTCACATCTTAGATGGCATACCTTGCACCAATAAGTGATACAAAATCTTCCCTTAGATACCCAAGACCTTTTTAAGCACACAATCATCTAATCTGAATACAAGGATGACTAAACAATTTCTTCCTTTAGGAAAAGACATTTTTGAAATAAAGTTACTAAATTACTCAAGTCACAGACAATAAATTTATTTAAGTAATGTCTTCCTCCTCCCATCTTGGGAATGGGATGCAATAATGCTCAATACAGGATTTTAAATACAAAGGATGGGTAGCCTTACCTTTACAATTTGGAAAGACAGATATGCTATAAATATAGTTGGTATGGCCATAATATACTTCAAGACACTCGCCAGTGATTTGCCACCTTCTAATACTAGCATCATTTGCACAGGAAAGAAATTCTGTTTCACTCAAAATTGCCAAACCTCTTACACAGTCTTCATGCCCTGCATTAAAAAAGAATAATGTTAATTAATAAAATGGATCATTTGGTTGACAACTCTATGTATCTCACTAACACTGCAAACTAGTATGAGTAGTTAAACCTGATTTTCAAGTCAGAGAAACTCATTTTTTTCTTAGAAAGTTCTGGAAACCAAAGTTTGTACTTTAGGTTTGGCAACATTTTTTAGTCTGTCTTGGGAAGTTATTTTATATTTATCATATCTTTTCCAAACTATTTATCCTAAATCCCTCCAGAAACAGGATTTTCGCCCCAACAATTCCTCATCTTTATCTGACAAGTCATTTCTAACTTTTCCTTTCCAATAACAAGAGTAATTCACAAAATACATAATATTCAATATAATAGAAATATATAACAAAGAATAAACATTCCCTAAAATTCTTACCTCACAATACTGAGGTTAATATTTATAAAGCACTAGAGAAAATTAAGAAGAGAGTAGATTGAGGGAGATTAACTTATCTAAAACCACACCTATCGGGTCCCTATGAGTTGGAATCGACTCAATGGCAATGGGTTTAGTTTGGTTTAAAATTGCACATAAGTAGGTTCTGACATAAGTCAAATACTTCATTTTTATTTTAGTTTTTCATTATTATTGCCTTTTATTATCAGTATCTTTAAAAATCTAATCTTTATTTGTCTTTGGGAGTTGGAAACATTACATATAAACTTACAGACATATTTTAGTAAATCCATACATACATTAAAAAAATACGCAAATCATAAAAAAATACATGGTCATATGCACTGTTTTTGTAACTTGAATACATCATAAGTCAGGGACTACCTGTATTACTTATAAAAGGATTTTAAATGATTTTAAAAACTTGATAAAATTCAATTCTTTCCATATTAACTAAGACATGAGGTGCCATTTCAAAATAAGGTCAAACATTCTCTGAAGCTTGCAATCTAATAAAGGAGATGAGAAGTCAAAAACTTTCCCATGCTCAGTATTTGTTGACTTAGATTAGCTATCACAGATTAGTAATGATTTTATGCATGTATACTGTATGTATTGAAGCAAAAACAGAGGGATGCTTGGTTATAACTCATTATCTGTTTTCCTTCTATAGATAGTTTTATCTGCACAAAGGGACTTCTTTAAGGATAAGCCAAAGTAGTGACAACTCTCAAGAAGGAAAAAAAAAAGGAGAAACACAACCAATAAGAAAAAAAAAAATTAATGCCCATAATGTAATGCCTCACAAAAAATCAGTGATATTAATATTATGAAGCAGGTACCTCAATATAGGAAGTTATTTAACAGCTGGAGCTTTAAAAGACTACTTACCAAAAACTTCAACATAAACAAAGCATTAAATTTGTTATTATTAAACAACGCATTTCCATATAAATAAAAGCACTAATGATGCTTTCCTCTGTATATGAAGATAACAGTGCTGACCCACCATTAGTCAGGCTTGGAAGTTTCAGGCTGAATGTGTTAAAATGACAACCAAAAACATAGCCATGTAACCACAGGTCATCAGGTAGCTATTAGTCCACCTGGTTGTTCTACGAGAGATCACACTATATCATTTAAAATGATGTTAAATATTATCTCTGTTAGAAAAGTTAACACTCACACAAATTATGTGACTCAAGTACACTGATGTTTTTCTAATATCATTTTCAACCTTCTAAAGTTTTTAGAAAAAAACATCTGGGCAAATAACAGACTACAAGATTATAAAAGCTGTCTACCCTGATCTTACCCATAAAATTCCTCTCACATCTTCCAGCCTTCCACAGTTTAATAGTCTTGTCTGCTGATCCAGTCAACATTAATCCCTGTTCAGGTAATATCTTTACTGCCCATACTGCAGCTGTATGACCCTATGAGTGAAATGGGTATCAATTTAAGTTGCCATAGAATTGTCACATTTAATTATTACCTAGAATATTCACAGAGAATTACTGTACCTGTAAGGTCATCATGCATTTGTCATTTAGCCAGACTTTAGCAGTGGTGTCCCATGAGCCACTAAGTAATGTCCCAAATTTTCCAGACGAAAGACTACAAACTAGGAAAGAAAAAAGTCATTAGTTAAAACATTTTCATGTAAAAAAATGATCAACCTTGTCAGTTACTAAAGCATCATAATTTTAAAAATTACTTTATGAAGTGACAGTATCTTAGCCAATTAAGGCTTAATTCAATTGGAGATGCAATAGAGTGTAGAGTATAGTCAAGAGCACAGACTCTGGTGCCAGACTCCCTGGGTTTAAATCCTAGCTGTGCCACCACAGGGACATTACTGAGCCTCTCTGTCTGCAAAATGAGGGAGCAGGACTAAGTGGGCTGCACTATCTCTTTCAGCCCTAAGAAACTGCAACAGCAAGGTAATGAAAACGATTCTGAAACACTGTTTATGTAGATATTTAGGATCACTTTAATTAAGATGACAAAAAACTGGAGCCAAGCTAAATGTTCAATATTAATGGAATGGTTAATTAACTGTGCTATTGTATTTTTGATATAAAATTATATAGGCTAAAAATTACAAATATGAAGGACTATCTAAAAACAAAAAGAGTTCTAGTGAAAAATGGCAGACCGGTATGGTAAATCTATAAATGATATTAATTTACAAAAACAAAGAAAATGGCAAAATGACATAACTTAGCAAAATGGAGGAAGTTATTACTTAAATACCAACAAAGTGAGAATTAGAAGCAAAGCGACTGGTCCCACAGAACCCTGAGACTCAGTATCTAGCCAACAGGTATAAGACGGAGACTTGAAAAATGAGGAGAGTGATTGAAAGCTTGTATACAACACAGTGAAATCCTAGACATCTTTTCCCCCAGCCTATAGTCAGGCAACTACATCCCCATCCACTTCAAGAGATGAGGTTTAATCTTTGGAGGAACTGAAGCAAAGTCTCTAGGCTCAGGTCACCAGGTTCAAGGGCTGGAGTAAGGAACCCTAACAAGCACAGGTAAGTAAGTGGAAGGTCTACATCCTGAATTGTGGTACCTACAACCCCCTATGCCAACATCAGCAGGCAGGCATATGTACCCCCTACACCACTCTAGCAGGAGGGAAGATTCTTCTCTAGAGGACTGCATAGTACTAAAGATTTCCAGATCCTAATGTTTGAGAAGGTCTCTTACCTAAAAGGTCAGATCGTCAGCTGGTCACCCTTTAATGAAGCATGAAGCACCAATCACTAAACTCCATCTACCAAAATCCAAACCTGTTGCCATCAAGTCAATTCTGACTTATGGTGGCCCCATGGGTTATACAGTAGAACTTCTCCACAGGGTTTTCTTGGCTATGATTTTTACAGAAGCAGATCGCCAGGTCTGTATTCCATAGAGCCACTGGATGTGTTCAGATAACCAACTTTTAAGTTATTAGTTGAGCGCAAACCATTTGCGCCACCCAGGGACCTCAGCTCCATTTACACAGGCTAAAGAAAATTTCAATAAACTTTTTTGTCCCTTATTCTTAAATATTCAGGAGTCCTGGTGGCACAGTGGTTAAGTGCTCAGCTGCTAACTGAAAGATTGAAGGTTCGAACCTACCAACCCACCGCAGGAGAAAGATACGGCAGTCAGCTTCCGTAATAAATACTCCAATGATACCATAAACCCTAAGGGGCAGTTCTTCTCTACCCTATAGGGTCGCTATGAGTCGGAATCGACCTGATGGCAATGGGTTTGGTTTTCTTGGTTTTATTCTTAAATATGGACAGTCAATCTAGGATTGTCAGCCATTGATAAAAGCCTCCTCCAACATGAAACAAGAAGGATTCAATCAGCAAAATCCAGATTATGAGAAATTCTACAGGTCAGATAACCTTGTTTCAAACAGCAAGGAAAAAAAAAAGCGAAGAAACCTCTATTAAAAGACCCATAGACCTTGCTTACGTCCCAATTAATATAAAGACCGCAAAAGACCATTTTTGATATAACTGGATAAATTTGAACATTACTGAATATCTGATAATAAAAAATCAGGTTTTGTTTTGTTTTGGGTATCATAATAATATTGTGGTTATTTTCTTTTTAGGAAAAAAAAAAAAGGCCTTATCTTTTAGAGGTGGGTCAGCAAACTACCACGTGCAGATCACATGTTTTTGTACAGCCCATGTGCTAATAATGGTTTTTACATTTTTAAATGGTTGAGAAAATTTAAAAGAATATTTCGTGACATGTGAAAATTATATGATATTCAAATTTCAGCATCCGTAAAAAAAAAAACACCATTTGCCATAGAGCTGATTCCGACTCACTGGGACCACGTGTGTCACAGTAGAACTCTGTTCTACAGGGCTTTCAATGGCTGAAGTTTTCAGAAGTAGATTGCCTGAGGAATCTCTAGGTGGACTTGACCTCCAACCTTTCAAGTAGAGTACATTAACCATCTGTACCAACCAAGGACTCTGTCAATAAGAGTACTGATACATCATTCATTTATTTATTGTCTGACTGCTTTTGCACTATAACAACCCTTTGCTAATCTATGTTTTTAGAGCTATATGTTGAAGCATTTATAAATGAAATGACACGATATGAGGTATTTCATTTAAAATAATGTAGTGGAAAAGGAAGAAGATAAAACAAGATAGGTCATGTGCTGACAATCCTTGAAGCTAGGTGCGTGAGGGGGAGGAGGTCATTATAGTAATCTCTTTTATATATATAATTTACTATAAAATACCATGTCCCTATTTTTGTATACATTTGAAGAGTTCCAAAACAGAGTTCTAAAAAATCTATACTACTTTATATTGAAAATTACACACAAACACACACATATACATACATTTTACAAACTATTTAAAAGGATTAAATGTAAATAAAGTGTTTATAGGCCATACTATTTGCTTATGTATGTCCTAATCCATTCCAGATACATAAAAAGATAAGTGCACGTACCGCACTGATCAAGCATGTCATTTTACAATGAAGAGGCATTAAAGCATACATAAATCCAAGAACATACACAAATCACAGAAAAACTTGTTGCTGTCAAGTAGAATCCAACTCACAGCAAGAAAAGTAATAAATACTCTAGTAACGATACCACGGCCTTAAGCACATCCCTTCTCGGTCTTCAATTTGCTGCAAAAATATAGACATGAGACCCAAAAGACAAAGAAATAGCCTTAATTTCTCTTGGTAAAGGAGTTTCTTGCACAAAATAGTTGAAAAAAAAAATCAGACAGCACATTAAAATTTTACTGCCTATTCCCTTTATAACTGAACACTTTACTTTTACATATATGAGCAAGTCATCCTTTACTGACAGTGATAAATTTTTAACAGAGAATTTACAAAATTAAAATGATCTGAAAGATTTCTACTGTTGAGCTGTAAGTAAAACAGAATAAAGTAAAAACCTGAAAAAATGAATGTGATTTTACTTTCAGAAAGGCTGAAACTTCCTCAAACAGAAGAATACCAATCAAAGCATTATACTCACCAGTATTTTTGTGACCTTTTAGTATATAAAGTGGCGCTGGACTGTCCAGTGAGAAAATGCAAATATTGTGGTCATTTCCTCCAGTGGCAATTAGTCCATGAGGGTAGATGTCACTTGATGGTATGATGCAAACACAAGATACAAAATTGGAGTGGCCACTCATACAGTGCATTTCTGTAAAGCCTCTGTTAGGGCTGGAAAAAAATTATAATTAATAAGATATACATTTGTCCCCTGATTTAACCTAGACATAAACTGTCAAAGAAATATTTATTTTCATTTAGTGTTTAGGCTGAACTTTAGAGTGCACACTACTTTAAGAATGCATTGTTTTAAATTAAACATTAAATAGCTAATTTATACTAGCCACTACTGACGTTTATATCAGTTTAGGAGCCGTTTAATTTTCATTTCATTGATAAGCGTATGTTAATTAGCAGAAAGAACAAGAAAGGAAAGGGAGGGAAACAAATATTGTTAGTGGCTTTCTTTCATCTTCTATCTTCATTTCTACTCATCAGTGGTTGTTACTAAGAAATTCCTGGTTAAGTGAAAACATCCATGCAATAAAGACAATGGAACCCACTATCAATAAGCTTTAAACCTAGTGAGGACATTTTCACATTATGAAGCATTAACTTAGTACCCATTAGCATAGTATATGTATCTAAATATCTGGAATATCATTCTCAATATGCAAAGGAGGAACTAATACAGGGATATAGAAATGGCTGCTCCAGGAACAGAAAACATTAATAACTGCCTTGGGATTAGAATGGTTACCAATTTGTTACACATGTCAGTCATTTAGCTTCACTGTCTTACTTAGCACAAGTCAAACAAAGTTATGATATACCATGTGGAAGGCTGTAAGTTAGCTGCTGAGAGCAATATAAAGAATCATATCCCTAACTCCAGCTAAATCGAGGAGTTCACAGTCTACTTGAAGAAGATAAGACAAATGCATATAAAGAGATAATAAGACTTCCAGATAAAGATTGAGCTCATCTATTTTTGTTCCTTTTCCAAACTCCAAAAAAAAGTTTTATAGAGTAGTATAACACAATCCTAAGTGTGTGTGTGTGTGTGTGTGTGTATACACACATATATATAAAGTTTTATTTTGTTTGTTTTTTAAGACAGGCATAAACCCACAAAGCCTGGGGGAAGGTGAGAAAAGAACAGCAGTACAAGTTTGGAACACTGGAACCTGACAGAAAAGTAGTAAAGGCCTAAGATGACCTGAGAAAAATGAGTTCTAAGCAGGCAGGAGGGAAAGTGGAGAACCAACTTACCAATGAATCCCCAAAAGACTCAAGAATTAGCAGCACTAATTTTATGTACCCTAGGGAGCCCTGGTGGCCCAGTGGTTAAGCACTTGGCTGCTTACCAAGAAGTCAGCAGTTTGAATCCACCAGTTGCTCCTTGGAAACCCTATAGGGTAGTTCTACTCTTGTCCTACAGGGTCGCTATGAGTCAGAATCGACATGATGGCAATAGCTATTTTATTTTTTAATTTTTAATGTATCCTAGAAATGGGGACAAAGAGGTGGGAAATAGAATAAGGAAGATTATTTGAAAGTCTTAAGAATCAGTCGGAAGTTGAATTATATGAAAAAAATCTTCAAAGGAGGTATTCGATAGTAGCTGTTTTTAACTTGTACACTTTGTTTTGGTGATTTTTTTTTTTTTTTAAATGTGTTTTTAGAAAACCATTTTATCAACAAGCCCAGAGAAAGTTAAAAGATAGGACAAGTTTAAAAATTCATATTATATAAACCACTAAATCTACCTATGTGCGCCCCTTAGCACTTCCCAGTATAGGTGTTCATTTGCATCTTCCATAGTGGGCTATAAAGCTCTTATGGGCACAATCCAGATCTGACTCTTTTTGGTATCTTCCCAAGTTTCTAGCACAATGTTTTTACATAGTAAGCCTTACCTATTTCTTAATTTTTTTTAAATGAAAAAAATATGATATTAAAGGAAGGAAAAAAAGCAACTAGACACCCCCAGCCAGACAACTGTCCCTCTTCCACCTAACTGAAGTCTGAAACTTGTTCTTTAGAAAAGGTAAGTCTGTGACTGGGGGACACAAGGATAGTTGAGTTCTGGAGTATGAAGTGAATATATACCTTCATACTGGTGTCTACAACCACCAAGACAGAATCCTGGCAGCCAGGCCTTGATCCTCAAGACAGGAGGCTGGGAGAATATCCGCTGGGACATTGTTGTATACCACTGAGTCGATTCTGACTCATAGAGACCCTACAGGACAGAGAAGAACTGCCCCACAGGGTTTCCGTGGCTGTAATGTTTACGGGAGCTGGTCACCAGGTCTTTTCTCTCACGAAGCGGCTGGTGGGTTCAAACTACCAACCTTTAGGTTAGCAGCCAAGTGTTGCATCATTGTGCCACCAGAGCTCCTTTATTGGGACATCAGACAGGTCCAATGATCAGCCCAGCCAGGTCCCCCTACAGTGAAGCTCACTGCCAGCAAGCCCCACCAATAAGCACAGCGATTCTGAGGAGATTGTTAGTTCTCTACTCTAAACAGAGTGGCCATTGGACAGTAAGTATTACCACACATCTGAGGAAAGCCCCCAGCATGAAGTATACTGACCAAAACAAACACAGGAAAAGAAAGCAATCTGGAGGAAACAGACCACTTAAGTAGAAGATAAATTAAAAAAAAAAAAAAATTAATATCTCTAGATATGTAAGAGAAGATGGCACAAATGGTTAAGCACTTGGCTACTAACCGAAAGGTTGGCAGTTCAAGCCCACCCAGCAGCTCCGCAGAAAAAAGACCTGGCAATCTGCTTCCGTAAAGATTACAGCCAAGAAAACCCTGTGGGGCAGTCCTACTCTGTCACATGGGGTCACTATGAGTTGAAATTGACTCGACAGCACGCAACAACAACATTACAACCTGAAACAAGAATATAATTCTACCACAAGTCAGGCAATCTCTAGAAAACATCAGAAAAAAAGAGGAAGATATTAAAAAAAAAAAAATTAGACAGCAAGTTCAATATCCAAATTAAAAAAGTTCCATAAAAAAGAGGCATAAAAAATCAACACAAAGAAATCAAAGAATTAATTTAAGAAAACTTCCCAGAACTTATGAACGTGAGCTTTCAGATTAAAAGGGCCCACCAGAACCCAGAACAATGGATGAAAACAGATTGTTTTCCGGAGAGAAAAAAGAAAAATAGGTCAAGAATCGGAACGGCTTCAGACTTCTCATCAGCCACATTAGACGCTACAATGCATTAAAGCAAAAGTTTCAAAATTCTGAAGGAAAATTATTTCCAAATTAGAATGCCAAAACCATTCAATTATCGATCAGGAATCACGGCAGAATAAAATCATTTTCAGAATGACAAGGCCTTGTTGTTAGTTGTCACTGAGTTGGCTGGGACTTATGATGACCCACATACGCAAGAGAATGAAATGCCACTGGGTCCTGCACCATTCCCTTGTTCGGCTGCAGTTGTGACCATTGTGATCCACAGGGTTTTCATTGGCTGATTTTTAGAAGTAGATCACTTGGCCTTTCTTCCTAGTCCGTGTTAGTGTAGAAGCTCTGCTGAAATCTGTTCAGCATCACAGCAACAAGATGTATGGGTGGCGGCTGCACATGAGGTGCATTATTAGTCAGGATTTGAACATGGTTCTCCCACATGGAAGGCAAGAATTCTACTAATGAACCACCAATGCTTCCCTTAATACATTTATTATTGCTGCACTGTATTTCAGGAAAACGAGCCCTGGTGGTGCAGTGGTTAAAGCGCTCAGCGGCTAACCAAAAGGTTGTTGGTTCAAACCTATGAGCCACTCCACGGGAGAAAGATGTGGCAGCCTACTTCTGTAAAGATTTACAGTCTTGGAAACCCTATAGGAAAGTTCTACTCTGCCCTACAGGGTAGCTATGAGTCTGAACTGACTTGATGGCAACAGGGTTTTTATATTTCAGGAAGTTCCTGGAGCATGTGCTCCAATATGGCAACAGGGAAGAAAACCAGGGAAGAGTAAGTTACAGGATATTGATAATAGAAATCCAACACTCCAACACAAGAGGTCCAAAAACAGAATTGCAGAGATGACAGAGAAGGGAGATACCAGGATTAGTTGTGCACCAGAGGCAGACAGACCAGGTCAGAAGGCTTTCAATATCAAGATGAAACTGTAAAATATCTGATGTGTCTAAATGTCTTGAGAAGATTTAGACAACTAGCAAAGAATGTGAAATCGAATTAGTAATAAATACATAGAAAATGAAATGAAAACACAAAAAAGAGACAATTATTGTATCTGTTTCAGATCATAAAACTGTTCAGGAAATCACACTTTGTTCCACAGCTCAGATGTAGACAGAATTTACACAGCCATAGTTACGTAAACACAAAATACTGACTTAGTCAAAATTCAGCCAACCTATATTGTAAGGATCAGGGCATAGCAAGGATGCATGTTTGATGGGGATAGTTGAAGGGCAGAGACAGCTAAATGCTCATATTCCACAGCAGAAACAAACAGATAACACCGAAAATAAACAAAGAGAAAGACATAGCAACATAAGCATTTTATGTGTAGTCATGGAAATAAAATACAAAATAAGCAATAAGAGAGATGAAAATGTTAGCCTCCAAGAAAAGAAAACCAGAATGGAGTGGGAAGGGAACTGCTTTGTTTTCTTAACAAATCCCACAGAACTATTTGACTAAGGACCCAAAGTGCTGAGTGTTTACACAAGGGAGAGGTCACTTTAGCCTTGGCACGATTAAGGAAGATTTAGTGCCGTATGTGGGATCTTAAGTTGTGTCTTAAAGTATGGAAAGTTTTCAAAAGGCAAAGCAATATAAAGGCAAAGCTGCTGAATCCTCATCAAACCTCTCTCAACCCTGAAGTTGGTAACAGACTTGGGAAACGCAGTTTAGTTCAAAGAGGGCTTATTGAGGCCTGAAGCAGTCTGAAACAATGGCACGTCAATAGTTTGGTTCAATGTACAACCAAAAAATATACGCCTCCATTCTGCAGGGCCTTCACAGAAGGCCAGGAAACTTTTTTCAATGGCTTTTGTGAAAGACAAGTCTAATCCACCCTAGAATAGAACTATTTCTGCCTCACTGGAACCATATTCTCCCATCATACCCAGTCCATCCCTACACTTATCATCCTCATCCAGAACCACATCAACAATGTACATGGGAAAACAAATTTCATTTACTACTTGGCTCCAAATATTTTATAGCACTTTATTAAGTTTATTAATATACCATGAAATAAAAATTGCCAGGATATCCGTTTTAACGATAGTTTTTATAACAAAAGGGAAGGTATGGCTGAGGCCCTCTAGTTGGGATGCATAAGAGGTCCATCCCCAGTGACTATGAGACACCCTACCCTGAATAGCTGAACATGAGAGGTAAAATAATCTTATCTCACTGATATTTACATTACCCACTACCTATATACCTATGCCCTGCACAATGCAAGCTTTCAATCAGTGTCAGTTGAATTAAAATGAATGAATTTGAAAAAATAAAAAACATCATGAGTTAAATGAAAAAAACTGGTTTTCAAATTGAGGATCACTTCAACCCAAAGTTCCTAGTAAGTGCAACCACTGAAGTGATGGAAGCTCTTGTCAACCTAGCCAAACCCTAAAAAAAATCTGCTGCCGTTGAGTCGATTCTGACTCATAGAGACCCTACACAACAGAGCAGAACTGCCCCACAGGGTTTCCAAGGCTATAAATCTTTATGGAAGCAGACTGCCACATCTTTCTCCCGCAGAGCGGTTGGTAAGTTCGAACTGCTGACCTTTTGGTTAGCAGCCAAGTACTTAACCACTGCACCACCAGGGCTCCTGGCCAGGTCCTACAAAATATGCAAAAGTTTAATGACAATATTCAACTATTACAACAACCATCCTTCAGATCTCGTAACTGCAATGTGTTTACATTCTAATGGGCATATGCTTTCACTGGACTCAATTTTAGAAGTACAAGTTTAATCAATAATTGTACTCAAGTATACACAAAAATCATTTTCTGAATACTTGAGTAGGAATCGACTCAGTAGCAACGGGTATACACACAAAAAAGTTACGTATCAGTGTTACTTGTGGTTTGGATTATAGAATCTTAGAGTTACAAAAGACCCTCAAAGGTCATCTCCTCCAATTCAACTCAAGAGTTTGTCCTATAATATTGTTAGTTTAGTCTTGCCCTCGTGGCTTGGCTGCCCTACTGCAAAAGCCTACAAACAGATCTGCTTCCACTCTTACCGTTTCCAATCTATTCTCCACCAGCAACTAGTAAAACTTCCCAACAGGTCAATCAGATCACACTGCTTCCTGCTTGAAACCCTTTGAAGGCTTCCCCTACGTGCTCCCTTTTCTCTGCCCTCTTACCGTGGCAGGTCCTGGCTCCTGCCAGCCTGTAAGACCTGCCCTCACCTCACCACTCATTCTCTCCCGCCTCACAAGACTTTCCTCTTTCCCAGTCCAGGGGTTCTGCGTTTGCTCCTCCTGCAGCCTAGACACTCTTCCAATTCAACCCTTTCCTGACCAGTTCCAGGTCATTCTTCAAATACCAGCTTAAATGTCACCTCCTCAGATAGGCTTTCGTCTTCTTCTTTTTTTAATTTAGTATTATTGTGGCGAAAATACACTTAACAAAATAAATGCCATCTCAACAATTTCTACATGTACAATTCAGTAACACTGATTATTACATTCTTCAAGTTGTGCAACCATTCTTGCTATTCTTTTCCAAATCATTGCTCTACCATTAACATAAACCCAATGCCCCAGAGGCTTCCTTCTTTTAACATTTTTCTCCACCACAGTCTGTATTTGTTTTCTTCATAGTACATACGTCAATTTGCAATTATTTGGTTGTTTTTTATCCTCTTCTTCATCAAACTATAAGTAAGCTCCATAAACACAGGGACCTTGTCTTATTATTCTTCTCTAAATCCCAGACAAATAGGAGGCACTCAATAAATAGTTGCCAATTGAATTCATAGACCATCACTCAAACTCTGAGTAAATACCCCTAGTGATGGGAGACTTACTACATAACAAAGTACCTCACTCTAATTTTGGTTTTCTTTTCTTTTTTTCTGAACTGAAGTCTGACTTCTACGTCTTAAACTTCCCTCTATAATCAGTCAAACCAGGGCTGAAACCTTGAACTTTATCTAGACTGGAGGAGTAGTTCTTCATGCTTTCTGGATCATGAACCCCTAGAATAATCTTTTGAAGGCAATGGGCTCTCTTTTCAAGCAAACACCACATTCCCACATATCCATAAGACATCTGGTTATTTCATGTCTTCCTCCCAAGCTCATCACAGACCCCAGACTAAGAAACTCACATCCGGACAACGAGAGGCGCCAATGCAACTTTCTGCAATGTAATTTTTGAGAATAAAGGTTTTAAAAAATTAAATTTGAAGTAAACCTTGAGAGAAAATTCAAGGGGAAAAAAGATGACTTACTTCAATTACATGCCAGATACCTTCAGATCTCATTTAAGAGGTTGCACTTGGCATCAATATATTTTCGAGTCTAAAAGAAACTTGGGAGATCGTGCCGTCCAAAAGTTTCTCACTTTACAAATAAGAAAACTGTAGCCCCAAAAGGTAATAGGCTCGTCCAAGGTCATCCGCTCTTTAGTGATCAGGTTAGGACAAGAAGTCAGGTCTCTGATCTCCCAATCCGATGCTCTTTCCATTTAAATTTCGCTGGTTTCTTACACTGCGCGCCCAGAGTGCCAGCGCTCTCAGAACTAGGAGAGAACGCCAAGCAGAAGGAAGACCGGAAAGACAGGGAGAGAGCAGACAGAGCAGTACAGGGTCACTCTCTTCCCACTCGCCCGAAAGCTCGCAACACAGCCGAGGACAGACCGACTCGCGGCGCTCACCTGTCTGGGGCCCAGAGGCGGGTGGTGCGGTCTCGGGACACCGACACAAAGGCCCCCGGCGGATAAAGGCAGCTCGCCAGGCCCCGCACGTCCAGCTCGTGGCCCGGGAGCGAGCAGCTCAGCCGGTACCTGGCGGCGCCGCTCGCCATGGCCCGTGTCGGTCCAGCGCCGCGGGACCCGGACACTGCGCGAGGTCAGTCCGCAGCGGAGGCAAGGCGTTCCCTCAGCCGCGGTACAAACGCGACCTACAGCTGAGTGGCGGCCGGAGACCGGAAGAACCCGGAACCGGTGCGGAAGGGCGGCCGGGAAGGGGCGAGCCTAGTGGGCCGAGTGACACAGCAACACTGACATGCACACCGGAATTCATCATCCGCCTCAGCCCGCCATGACGCAGAGCTCGTGCGCCCTGACTTTGGAATGCGGCGCTACCTGAGGCTTCCTTACCTCCTGCTCTCTGGACCGCCGGCAGAGAAGGAGATAACGACACCCGGATCTCCTGCCCCGGCTCCATGAGAGCCGCGACAAGACTGTTTGTTGTAAATTGGGACGTAGGGACTGGACTACAAATCCCACAATGCCATGCGCCATCGGGGTGTGAACTTCCTGTGCGCTGGGTCCGAATATTTTAAATCTTCATCCCCGGCGCTACATGCTGCAGAGTGAGTTAGAATGCTTCTCGTATTTCGATAAGGCGGTCTCACACCCTTCTTTCCAAACCTTCTCTGCATATCCTCCTGAATTTTTAATAACCTAGACGTTTTTGAATTAAAACGTGAGGGCTTGGGTCCAAATTGGAAACCTTTAATCACTTGCCTTCTTTTCAAGTTACCCTGATCTCCTTGCCCACTATCATCAAACTTGGCGGAAAATTCGATGATCCATATCCCTTTTGTTTTGTTTTTTATTTGCCTACTATTGCCTGGGAGCTTGTTAAAGGGCAGGTTTTGAATCTGTAGGTTTGGGAAGGAGCTAACAATATTTTTAACAGCCCCCAGGTGATGCTGCTGCTGTGCGAGCTACCCCGAGCTTTGAGGGTATACATCATCTGCCTCATTTTCAATTTCCGTTTACCGTTCCATCCACGGTTCCCTCGCATCTAACTCAACTTCTCCACAAACCGTCTTAATTGCTAAGTCCAGTCCACACTTTTTTGACCTCTCCTTTCTTGAAACTGTCACTCTAGGTTCTGAAGCACTACTCGCCTAGTTTTTGTTTGTCTGACCTAAGCCCTGAAATGTTGACATTTCAGTGTTCCTTCTGCCGTTATATCATCTTCCTGGGTGGACCATTTACAACTTTGCTTATTTCTAAAGCTGTATTCCAAGATTGACTTCTCCAAACTCTAGATCTGTATTCCCAGCTGCCTGCTAGAAATCTACACCTGGTTTTTTTTTTAAGTTTGCATTATTATTGCCTTTTATTATCAGTATCTTTATAAAACCGATCGTTGTTAGTCTTTTGGGGCTGGCAAGATAATCATAACATTAGCCAGTGACACACTACAACGTTGTGTATTGTACATGTTATTAATGATAAGATTTAAAAAATCTTAAATCAGAGATTACCTATACAGGGCTTTTTTATGCCACTTTCCCAATCTGTTTTACTAGGTTCTCCCTTCATTATCTTCATTAGTTCCTTACCTCAGCCGCGTTGAATTTCTCACCGTTCCCTGAACACATCATGCTGTCTCATGTTTCCATGTTGTTGCACATGCTCTTTTTTACTTGGAATGCCATTCTTTCTCCATTTGGCGTATTTCCACACCAGTTTAATTATCATCTGGCTCCTTCTGATTCCTCTGGGGAACAATGCAATTTTATTTATCTCCCTTATAGTATTTACTGCCTTCTAATACATTCGTTTCTGTCTTTTCCTCCAGACTAAATTTCCCTCCCTACCAGTAATGGCTTTCTTTATCTTCAAATCCTAAGCATCCACTGTAGTACTTGACACTGATTAGGTCCTTAGTAAATGTTTTCCAACTTTGTATATTATTTAGTTTACAAAGCATTTTCACAGTCTCTCATTTAATGCTCACAATAACCCTTCGAGATAGATAATATTATTACCCCCACTTAACAAATGAAGAATTAGCCCACTACATGGTTAGTGCTCCATAATGTTTGTTGATTAAATTAGTTAATTGATGAATAACTGAATGGACCTAGGACTGACCTTAAATTCTATGAATACTAAACTGGGTCCTTGGTACTTTTTTCCTAATTATACTATTTCTATGTGTTAAATGATTCAAAGATTTAAACAAATATTTTCATTCAGCTGTCACATCTGCAAAAAAACGACTAAATACTGGATTCCCTCCACCCCCATCCCATGTGTCTAAAGGCATTGAGGGAGAAAGCTCCATAATGTCAGTAGCTTTTCTCAGAGAAAACAAATGGAATAATTGGACAGCTAACGATAAACACCACAGTTTAGATTCTTAGTATGATGTTCAGCATGATTTAGTAAGAAGGCCTAAATCCGCTGTTGTTGTTAGGTGCCATCAAGTTGGTTACAACTCATAGTGACCTGTCTGTACAGTGGAACGAAACATGCCTGGTCCTGCACCATCCTCACAGTCATTGCTATGTTTGAGCCCATTGTTGAAACCACTGTGTCAGTCTATCTTGTTGAGGGTCTTCCTCTTTTTTGCTGACCATCTACTTGACCAAGCATGCTGTCCTTCTCCAGGGACTGTTCCCTCCTGATAGAATGTACAAAGTACGTGAAACAAAGTCTCACCATCCTTGGTTCTATGGAATATTCTGGCTATACTTCCAAGACAAATTTATTAGTTCTTCTGGCAGTTCACAGTATATTCAGTATTCTTCACCAATATCATGATTCGAAGGCATCAATTCTTCTTCGATCTTCCTTTTTCATTGTCCAGCTTTCATGTGCATATGAGGCGATTGAAAATACCATGGCTTGGGTCAGGCACACCTTAGTCCTCAAGGTGGTGTCTTTGCTTTTTAACACTTTAAAGAGGTCCTTTGCAACAAATTTTCAATGCAATACATCGTTTGATTTCTTGACTGCTACTTCCATGGGCGTTGGTTGTGGGTCCAAGTAAAATGAAATCTTTGACAACTTCAGTGTTTTCTCCATTAATTATGATGTTGCTTATTGGTCCAGTTGTGAGGATTTTTGTTTTCTTTACGTTGAGGTTGCCTTAGAGTAAAATCACCACAAAGCTATAGTAAAGCAAGAAGAAAGATTTTATTTGGCATATGTTCCAAGAGGCAAAAGTGGGAAACAGACAAGCCTGCTGCCAGAGCCATGACTTCTCGTGTCTGAGGAATGTTACAAAATCACAGTATATATTGAAATTCCAAATCAAACCAAACTCTGTTGCCATCAAGTCGATTCCAATTCACAGTGACCCTATAGGACAGAGTAGAACTCCCCCACAGGGATTTCAAGGACCAGCTGGTGGATTTGAACTGCTGACATTTTGGTTAGAAGCCAAGCTCTTAACCCACCACCAGGGCCCCATACTGACACTACAAATGGGTAAAATCATTCAAAGTTTCAGCTTTTCACAGACTGGCTAAAAATTGCAAAATCTCTATGATTCCACATTTTGAATTGTCTTCTTTAATAATCATTGGTACAAGTTCAGTAACAACAGTCAGGAGGGTCTTCATTGGTTCAACAAATCTTATTATTTACTAAATGCTAATAGAAAAAGATAAAAGTGGAAAGGTGGTGGGTTTTTTGTGCTCCATCTAAGTATTTGTTTCCTAAAGGTTTCCTTAAAGATTTTTTCCAGGATTGTCCTAGCTATTGTTTTATACCTCAGAGCCCATTTGATGTGTTGTTGAGAATCCTTTTGAGTCCAGCTCCAGCTAGCTCATACTCTTTATATACAAGGACAGGGAATAATGGCTCCAATTTTAAGTCTTTAGTCAAGGTGTAAAGGCTGTAGTCTTTGAACGTCATCAGTAAGTGCTTCAAGTCCTCTTCCCTTTCAGCATGCAAAGTTGTGTTATCTGCATATCACAGATGGTTAATGAATCTTCCTCCAGTCCAGCTTCTTGGATTATTTGCTCAGCATTCAGATTGAATAAGTACGGTGAAAGGATACAACCTTGATGCACAACTTTCCTGATTTTAAAACAAAATCCACCGTAGACTAACATTAATACAAAATTATATTGGAATAGAGTTGAGATGAATATGGTGAAGGGCTACTAGCTTAATAGAATAAACTAGGCAAGCTTAAATAAGGAATCTTACAAGTTAGTAACGATATTTTGCTTGTGTATGAAAGTGATCCTGACTGAATATTATTTGATCTCTTTTACCAAAATTCTACAAATAAATTCAAGTGTGAAAACCTTGGGCTAGTATAACACACTACATGTGTGATTGTTAAGGTTGTGTGTCAGCTTGGGTAGGCCATGATTCTCAGTGGTTTAGCAGTTATGTAGTTTGGCAGTTGTATGAGCATGTGATCACTTCCATGATGAGATTTGATATAATGTGATCACCTCCATGATGGGATCTGCTGTGAGTAGCTAATCAGTTGAAAGGGAGTTTCCCCGGGTGTGTGGCCTTTATCCAATACAGGTGGACTCTCTGGCAAAGCTCGCGGGCTTTTGATCACTCTGGATCTTGCAGCTTGCTCCTGTTCATCTGACCTCTGATTCTTGTGACTTGAGCTAGAACTTACCTGCCATCTTACCTGCCAGTCTTGGGATTCATTGGTCTTTGCAGCCTGTGAGCAAGAGCCCTGCTGTCTGACCTGCTGATCTTGGGTTCACCAGCCTCTGTGGCTGACTGTGTGAATCGGGAGAAGCCTCTAGCCTTACCACGGATTTGGGACTTGCAGTCTCTATAAACGCGTGAGCCATTTCCTTTATATAAATTTCTCTATATAGATGTTTATACACTTTGCTGATTTTGCTTTGCTAGAGAACCCAGCCTAAGACAGCATGCATGAAATAAAAATTCAAAATGCATTGCGGGGAAAATGATAGAAGTTTTTAATCTTCAGGTTTGAGAAAGTTGAGGCTACAAATATCTCCCAAAAGGGGGAATGCTGTAAAAACAAAGTCCATTGGAATACAAACAAAAAAGCACAAATAAGAAATACG